AAAATTGGGGGTACCCATTTATGGCTGCTACCAGAAAAATTGGACCTATATTTATAATTTTTGGTGGAGATATTTGGCACCAAATAGGAACCAAATGTACCAAACTTCAGCGAAATCGGTTGAAAAATGCGCTCAAGAACCCCAAAATACCGACATTTGGGGCCTACCAGAAAAAATGGACCTATATTTATAATTTTTAGTGGAGAGATTTGGTACCCAATAAGAACTCAAAGTACTAAATTACAGCCAATTCGGTAAAAAAAATCCGGCCAAAACCCCCCAAAAACTGAAAATTGGGAGGTACCGTTATATGGGGGCTACCAGAAAAAGTGAACCTATATTTATAATTTTCGGTGGAGAAATTTGGAATCCAAAAATAACCCATTATACCAAATTTCAGCGAATTCGGTTGAAAAACGCGCTCAAGAACCCCAAAATACTGACAATTTGGGGGTACCCTTATATGGGAGCTATACCTAAACTTGGACCGATATAGCCCATCTTCGAACCTGCCTGCAGACAAAAGACGACTCTAGCCAAAATTTTGGCGCTCTATCTCAATTCGTTTAGACGCTAGAGTGATTTCATCAGACAGACGGACATGCTTAGATCGTCATAGAATTTTACGCTGATCAAGAATATATATACTTTATAGGGTCGGAAATGATTATTTCGATGCGTTACAAATGGAAAAACAAAACTAATATCCTCCATACTATGGTGGAGGGTATAAAAATATTTAAATAATAAAATATATATATATATATATATATAAAATTGAACTATTTACACAATTTGAAATACGAACGAATGAAGAATATGGGAATAAAGGAACGAGATCAGAAAAAAGAACGAGAAAAAAGGAAAACAAACAAGAACGAGATCAAAAATGAACGAGATCAGAAAAAGGAACTATATTAATTACAGAGCTGGAACTAGTTCCGATCGTTCCTTTCTCGGAATAGTTCTAATGAACTAGTTCGTTCCGGAACTACCAAACTCTAAAATTTAGTACAATTTTGATTTTTGGTTAACGGAAGGAGCTGAAAACTTAAAATTTGGAATTAAGATTACTATTGAGGATTTTACTATAGAAAAAGTTTTGGAAATTCGTATTTATGTGTACGAAAAGTACAAAATGACACTAAATTTGCTACAATTTGGAATTGGGTGAACGGGCAGAGCTGGAAACCTAAAATTTGGAATAATGATTGCTGTTGGAGTGTAGAATTGAGATATATATATATATATATTCTTATGTACTAAATGGTACTATATTTGTTGCAATTTGATTATGTGTGAACGGATAGGCCAGGACTGCAGAATATTAAATATGGTACAATTTGGATTTGCGTGAATGGATAGGGCTGAGTTCCTGAAACTTGGAATAAAAATTACCGTTGAAGCGCAAGATTAAGATAGTTTTGCAAATTCGTACTTATGGGTACGAAAAGTACTAAATATGGTACACGTTGAATTTGTGTGAAGGGTAAAGCTGGATTCTGAAAGTTTTGCTAGGTTGAGGAAGTTTAGAAAATTCCTACTTATAGGGTACGGAGAGTGCTAAATGGTACTAAATTTTGTATTTGGGTGATGGGCTAGAGTTGAAATCCTAAAATTTGTAATTTAGATTACTGTTAGAGTGTAGGATTAAGGTAATTGGGGGAAATTTGTACTTATGTGATACTAAATTTAGTTAAATTAGAAGTAAGATTGATATATGGAGGTAGTCTTGAAAATGTGTATTTATGTGTTCGAAGAGTGCAGAATGGAACTAAATGTGGAACCAGTAGATATTTGCTAAAGTATATAATTGGATCACTTTTGTATCTGTTCAATGGGAATAAGAAATAGATTTCGGAAATTAGTGCTTATGAGTATGAGGAGGAATACTAAATGGTAATAAACTTCATATTAGATGCATGAGATGAAATTCGGAATTATAGTACAACACATTATACAGTATTCATGATTTCCATATAAAATAATATTTATTTGTTCTGTATTCCCATTCCGCATACGAAGTATTTGATGTAGAGTAATTTTGTATTTGACGGATTTTCATACATTTGTACTCTTTCTGAAGTCAATAAAGAATTTGAATTTAAATATATAGTTTGTTTTGAGACTGATAGTTAAATTTGACATAGAATATTTCATTCCTTTTTCATTCGCTTGAATAGCGCGCTCAAGAAACCCAAAATATCGAAAATTGGGTGGTACCCTTATATGGGAGCTATACCTTAACGTCATAGGTGCAGGGCTGCCAGATTTGACGATTTATCGTCATTTTGACGATTTTTTGGTCAAAAATTGAAAAATGACGATTTGACGATTTTTGCCCAAAAAATGACGATTTTTTGTCATTTTAGTAATATTGCAATATTTGGGTTCTTTTTGTTATGGCAACATCAAAAATGTATAAAGCGAAAGAAAAAGTAGAAAGAATTTGAATATTTGGCATATGTGTGTGAGGTATACTTTGTACTGTTACAAATCCAACAACAGTTTACGTTTACCCAGATAGATGAAAAACTACCAATCAGCTGTGCCGTCCTCTGGGTAGACAGCAACAAAACAGATAAAAGTTAACGGTTGTTGTTTTTTGACACGGGCAAATTGAATAAAATTGGTGAACGGAAACGTTGTTATATTAAATTTAAGTTTCCATTTATACAAAGTTATTACAATTTTAAAAAGATTCGATTTGAAAGCATTTTTAAAATTGTATCTATGATAAGTCGCACGTATATTAGTAATGATATCCTTAAAGAATTTCCACATTTTGTGAACGAAGATGAAAAAAAATTGGATTCAGAATTTCGCGAACTAAGGTTGTTTGATTTTGATAACATTTGTGAAAATGATGAAACCGATTTATTTCGTTTTTGGAATGCAATATTTGATTTGAAACGTGGTGATGGTTCATATGGTTTTCCTATAATAACTAAATTTGTACGGAAGGTAATGGTATTACCCCATTCCTCAGGAAATGTTGTTTTCAGCCAAGTAAATAATAATAAATAAAATAAAAATTAATAAAACGAAAAGTCGAAATTCCCCCAATAAGGATTCAATGGAGAAATTTATACCAAAGATTATTTAAAAGTTAACAAAACAAATTGTTATGATACGTTAATTAAAACCGACATGTTGAAAATGATTAACACAAATATTTCTTTTCAAAATGAATGACTTTATTAAAGTCGAAATATTTATTTATAAAATAAATGAATTTCTTGATTAGCTTTAAAAAACGTGTCTAATAAATTGAATACCTCTTTTATGTTCATTTTAATAAAAAATATATTTAAATATATCTAAATGTGCGTATTTAAATTTTTGACGATTTTTGATAAAAAAAATCGTCATTTTGACGATTTTTCCAAAAAAAAAATCTGGCAGCCCTGCATAGGTGCCCAAAATTAAAATGCGTTAGTATGTGTGAGAGAAAACAGAACAGTACTGAACAAAATTGTGTGTACATTTTTGTGGTCGGAAAAACTTATTGATGAATTCAATTTTTGTTATTATATAAAATAAAATCATTATTAAAAATGTTTTTATATGAATTACAAAGTGTATATGTCATAAAAATCTAATAAAGTTTATAAAGTAGCATATACCGAGATAATAATCATATTATAATATTAAATACTACTATATCAAATATTTAATTCTTTAAAAAAACAGAAATTGTTCTGTTGTTTTTAAAATTTTTTAAACATACAAAACGCATTTTGAATAATAAAATAAAAATCCAAATATACTGAAACACTTTTATCCCTAAGTGTTATTTCGTTGATTTTCTAACACGACGTCGTGCGCGCACCCCAGTACGTGTTCATTCGTTGCCTGTCAAACAACGACTGACTGAAAGAGCATAACAATGCGTGTGAGTAGGCAGCTACTTTAAAGTATACTGATGGGCACCTATGCTTAACGTGGACCGATATAGCCTACCTTCGAACTTGACCTGTCTGCAGACATAAGACAACTCTATGCAAAATTACTTTAGAGGCTAGAGTGATTATAATAGACAGACGAGGAGACTTACTTGGCTAAATCGTCATATATACTTTACAGGGTCGGAGTTATAAACGGAAAATCGAACTTAATGTACACTCCATACTCTGGTGGATGGTATAAAAAGGTACAAAATTACCCGGTTATTTATTGTAGGGTTAAGTCAATGGTCCTTAAAAAATGCGAGGTCTGTTAGCATGCATTTCTTGAATATAGGCAAAATGGTAAAGGGTATCATATATTCGGCCCGTCCGACTTTACTACTTAGTTATTACTGATTTTCCATCCCTGCATTTCGGGGATTCTTTATTACCGAATATAGTGTCATTCTTCACTCACTTCTGTGTTGTTGTTGATTTGTTGTCTTTGTAATGAGGTTAACAATTCATTCATTGTTTTGTGAGTATGGCGTCATTTTGTGTGTGCCACATCGTGTTAAAGAACACAGAGATTTCAATCTTTGCTCATTTCATGAAATACTCTCTCTTTTTGTCGCTCTCTCTCTTGCTTGGATTTCCTCCCTTTCCAACCGAAGGGAGAATATTAACATGTGTTTGTGCGTATTCTATGCAAATTCTGTGTGTGTACGTGCGTAAAAGTCGGCAACCTGTCGCATGGCTCCCCATACACTTCGGCCGTACAACAACAAGGCGATTCCTTTTTGGAGTTATTCGAATATTCGAAGAGAACGGAATTTAGTTTGTATTCGACCGCCGCCTTTTGCGTTACTTTGTGGATTTTTGCTAAAAAATAAATTTGACATAGAATTTTGCCGGTTTTTTCTTCAGTCGGTTGCCTTGCAACCAAAGTTGTATTTTTTGACATAGAATAATATTCTGAAAAGTGTTGCTGTTATTTTCATCATTATTAGTAAAATTGTTGCGTTTTTCTCGCGTGGAGTGGAGTTGTTGTTATTCGTAATTTTATTGAATTCAGAACTAAAAGTTAAATTGAAATTGTTGCCACCGCATCATGGCCAGCTCCACATTGTGTGCCATTATTGGTTGGGGAAGTGCAGTGCTGACATTTATTGGCACCATTTATTCCTGTGTTCTGCTTGCAATCGATATTGACAGATATCAACATGAAAGGGAAAAACCGGATGGAACGCTATACTTTGTTAGTGGTAAGGCCCGGAGATTTTGATTAATATCAAGGACCTGATTTTTTTTTAAATCGTTTTGTATTTTTTTCATCATTTACACCTCGTAGATTTCGATTTAACCGAAGTGATTATTGCTGTGGTGGCCTTTGCAGCCATGTTTATTGCTTCCGTTTTATTAATTGTGGGACTTCGCAAGGTAAGAGTCATAAAAGGGGTCACCATGATATTCCCAACCAACTAAAATATTTTTTTCTTCTTCTTCCATAGAAACGTCATCAGTACATAGCCATTTGGATTGGTGTCACCGCTGTTTGTATTGTCCTGAATGTTTTGCGGCTAATACGCAGCCAACGTTCAATGGCTCAAAATCTTCTAACAGTGGGTAAGTTGTGTGTGTGTGTGGGGGATTCTAGAGCAACATCGAATGTGTTTTTTGTAAATATTTCAAAATTTATTTTTGAACTATGAATTTACATACAAATTCAAAACGCAATATTTGGGTGTGAAGTTAAATGAACGGAATTAGCAACAGAATATTGAACAAAGCAAACGAACAAACCTTGTTAGTCAATGGTGTTTTGTTGTTGCTGTTGTTCTTGTTGGACAAACACAAACATACGCATTTGCTCACCTACACACACTGATACACGTGCCAGGAAATACGATATACGATACGAAATTGATGTTTGTTGGCCACCAACGTGTTGTACAACAACTCGCCTATACGCCAAAGGTATGGTCTCATACCATTTTTTAAAATCTCCTTGAAGAAAATAATTTATAATAATAGAAAATGCCATGACATATTATAGGCGAACGTATGGTTTTTGGTAGGGTAGTCTCCTCTTCATTAGAAAACTAATATTCTAGTAAAATAGGTTTGTTTTTTTTTTACAATTTTGGACAGTTTTTTTTTGGACTGTATTAAAATGAAGAACAGGAAATGTTGGATTTCAAATCAAAATTTGATCAAAATCTCGGTGTGACTCCGTTTGAATTCGAAAAAATATGAAATAATTTGGTGCGATATGAAATTTTCTATGTAGCATATGTACAAATAAAAACTATATTAAGATCGGACAGCCGAACATTAAAATAAAAGATTTCATTCGATATCTTAATAAATGACGGACATTGGGGAAGTTATGACACACAAATTAGAGCCAATTAAAAAATAGAAATAAACATGCCCAAATACCAAATAATTGGAAGTAACGTTATATGGGAGCTATCATAAAAAGAGGATTGATATCAATTATTTTTTGGTGGCGAGATTTGCTACCCAGTGGAAACTCAAAGTACCAAATTGCACCCAATTTTGCTGAAAAACGTACTAGAAGTCCCCGAAATACTGAATATTTGGGAGTTCCAGAACATGAACTTATATATCCCATTTTCAATACCAAACATCTTAGGAGTGGTAATAATATACAGCTGCTGTCAAAATAATAGCAACGTAATGTATTGAAATATTCTTACTGAAGAAAACCATAGTCTTTATACCCTTCACCACACTGTGGTACAGGGTATTATATCTTTGTGCATATGTTTGTAACAGGCAAAAATAATCGAGATAGACCCTTGGTTCATTTTAAGAATATGTATAGAATCACTTTCTGAGTCGATTTATGCATGTCCGTCCGTCTGTCCATGTTAAATTGTAAACAAAGTACATGATCCGAATTGGATGAAATTTGGCATAGGTCACTTATTTGGCCCAAGGACGAACCCTATTGAAATTGGGAAAACCCGGTTCAGATTTAGATATAGCTCCCATATATATTTTCGTCCGATTTAAGGTAAATGGTGTACCAAAGTCCCTAAATCTCTTTCGATTTGCCCAAAATTTGGCATAACGTACTGAATTGAGCCTAGTGTGATGTCTGCCAAGTTTCGTGAAAATCAGTTCATATTTAGATATAGCTCCCATATATATCTTCGTCCGATTTAAGGTAGATGGTGTACCGAAGTCCCTATATATTTTTCGATTTGCACGAATTTTGGCATAGCGTAATGAATAAGGTCTAGAATGATGTGTGTCAAGTTTCGCAAAAATCGGTTCAGATTTAGATATAGCTCCCATATATATCTTCGTCCGATTTAAAGTAAATTGTGTTACAAAGTCTCTGTATATCTTTCGATTTGCACGAAATTTGGCATAGCGTACTGAATTAAGTCTAGAATTATGTGTGTAAAGTTTCGTGAAAATCGGTTGAGATTGAGATATAGCTCTCATATATTCATCCGATTTTAGTTAGTTGGTGCACCAAAGTCTCTGAAAATCATTCGATTTGCACGAATTTTGTCATAGCGTACTGAATTAAGTCTAGAAGGACGTGTGCTATGTTTCGTGAAAATCGGTTCAGATTTAGATGTAACTCCCATATATATGTTCGTCCGATTCTATGTAATTGGTGCACCAAATCCCTATATATCTTTCGATTTGCACGAATTTTTGGTATAGGGTACTGACTTATGTGTAGAATTATGTTGCTAAGCTTCGTGAAAAGATCCATATCTAGGCCGATTGGCACAACGTACTGAAGAAATATAACATAGTTATATAACAAACACGCGACGTTTGTTAGGATACATATGTAGAATATATCCAAAGTGGTGAAGGGTATCATATAGTCGGCCCAGTCCGACTTTACTGGTTTTTTTTTTTTGAAATCGCGATAGGTTACCAATTGCTATTTTTATTGTAATACTAACAAAAAAATTATATTTGAAAATAATGTGTTGAAAGAGGTTCTTTTTCTTAAATAGAGGCCGAAAAAAAATAGCAGCTGCAATGAAAACATAACATAAATTCATTTAAGGTCCTTATATGAAACTTAAGCATTCGTAACGAGATTAAATGGACGTTACATTAAATCGACATGGAGGTTGCATTAAATCGTCTAAGTTCGCATGGAATTTTTAGTCAAGCTTCTTAAATTAGCCTGCATAGCTCATTATTATTCTTTTGCTTAGTTACGACGGCCTCCTTTTGTAAATTGCACCACAAATTTTCAATTGGATTTAGATGCGGTGACTGTAATATCAATATCGTTGTCCTGGACAAATGTTTTGCTAATTGACTGGTTTGTTTTGGATCATTGTCCTCTTGAAATTTCTATTTTATATGTATTTCATATTCTGCATATAGCATTGAGCGGCATAAATTGAAATTTGAAACCAATATCTTGGTCTTGGTTTTACGGACAGTAAATTTTGTTCTGTGGACGTCTCACATACTGTCAGGATCAAGTATTACCATATAAAACTATTTTGAAATCGTCCGATCACAGCATATTTCTTCGTTTTCTAACTATTGATTATAGGCTGCGCTGCTATTAGTTTGATTGCAACTGTATGTGCAAAAAAATATATATACTTTATATTGTAAATGGATATTCCGGTTCCTCGAAGGGTGATATATATCTTTGCAGTAAATTTTGAAAATATATATTCATGTGTTGATATAGATCTCAAAAAATGCTCAAGGTTGTTGGTGGGTAAATAACTTCTTTGCTGGAGATATGCAGTATAGATCCATAATAGCCTCCTTAGAAAGAACAACATCCAACATATGATAAAGTTTAAATAGAATGTCCCCTCAATAAGAATCGTAAAATATTGAAAAAGTACCTCTTTAGTACTAATTGCTATAGAATTTACCACATATATCGGACATTATGGAAAAACTAAAGTGAGGAAAGTAGGACGGGCCGACTATAAGAATGCCCTTCACCACTTTGGACATATTCAACATACATATGTATCCTCACAGACGCCGCATTTTTAAAAGTACCTTGACATGAAATTGGACGAACTTAATATATGAGATCTTTATCTGAGGAACCGACTAACTCCAATATATCTGCAACATATGCTATATTTCATTCGGTCAGGTTTTTATACCCTACACAACTATGTTGTCAGGGTATTATAGCTTTGTGCAGCCCCAAAAGTTTGTAACGCCGCGAAATATTGGTCCTAGACCCACCTTTAAGTATACCGATCGTCATATCTCGACTAGCTGAGTCGATCTAGACATGTGTGTCCGTCATAAATCCGTCCGTCTGTCCATTATAATTTGTAAACACGATACAGGCCACAGTTATGGACCAATTTTCACGAAATTTTGCATGTAGGATGGGTTCTGACCAATGAAGACCCCTGTTGTTTTTGGGACATATCGGTTAATATTTAGGGGATGAAATGGACCAAATACTAAATTTTTGTCGGCTTTTCTGGTCGCTCCAGTGGCCGCAATAATGGCCCGAACATCGTGAAATTTGGATGGAGAAGGGGATCGGGTCAAAGAATGAGCATGCCTGTGTTGATAAAGATTGGTCAATATTTAGCGGGTCAAATTTACCCTGACTTTTGTGTGAAAAATTACAAAATTTGTATTCTATAGCGCATATATTTACCCCTAAATGACATAGACCCGAGAAGTTGACAGTATATCCAAGAGGAGTGGTTGACCTTTAAATTGATACCAATTATATTGTCGTAGGCGCTCGGATGCGGGAGTAACACTTAAATATTTACAGGTATCTCTGTATTCGTATATTATTTAGTAACCCATTATCACTCTAGAGAGCGGAACTATAGCGCAGATCGCTTTGAAATGTTCCATGAGGTTCCAGGTATGGTCAAGGACAACGCCTATAATTTTCGTTGATGATCAGATAATAATTTTGGAATGAAGTGGACCGAAAACTTAATTTTTTGGGTTATTTTCGAGTCGATCTATAGACCACAAATGAAAGCCGAACATCACAACACAACCCACGGTGAAGGGAATCTGGACAATAGCTGTACTGATTACTCGTAATATTCCGAAAATATGGTAGTGTGAGGAAGAGGTGCTGTTCAGCTCTAATCGGGCAAGATGGTGCAAATATCATGAAATATTGCCCAGGCTCGGAATAAACATCCGCAGAAAATTTGAGTTCCCTGGTAGTTGTGTAGGGTATCGTAGGGTACCGACTATACTGCTCCGCTCACTGGTTTTTTATGTTGGTTACTCATTGGGTGACAAATTATCTTACTTAAAAATTATTGATATCGGAAGATTTTTGACCCCCCCTCATATAACGGTGCCCTCCGATTTTTTTGTATTTTGAGAATCTTGCATTCAAACGAATCAGTTGTAATTTTATATTTTGGATTCTCATTGGATATTTTTAATTCCAACAAACAAAAATGTTTGTCCTGATTGAAAATTCGATTTTATGCGTCGTCTATATTATTTTTAAATTATCATGTTTCAGTCTTATTTTGTATTTTTTTATCTCCGCTTTTAGGTATCCAAGTGTGTTTATGGTATCCCATTGTCAGCTATTATCGGGACATGCGTAAAGATCTTAACGCCCCAACGACCGAAGACGATGATCCTCTGAATTTTGCATCGACAGCAAAAATACAGAAAAATGCCGTTGGAAATCAAAATCCTGCCGTACAGCCTTTATATCCGAAAATACCAGGTGCCGAACACAATGCCACAAACGTTCCAATGGAAAAGGCCAAGTTGACGGGTGAGGAGAGAGCACCGAATACTACGTATCCAACATTACCAAAGGAGTAAAAAAGAAGATGAAAAACAAAAGAATTAACAACATTTTGTAAGACTATTTATATGCAGAAATATACCAAAGTAGCAAAAATAAGAGAAACAATAACAACAAATAAATACATAAATATTAAAATTTATTATGATAATCAATCTAAGAGGGGTAAATGATCAAAAAATATATTCTAAAATGCCTTTAACATAAATATATATATCCATAATATCTATACGATTTTTTTTATATTTTTACGAAATTGTAATTAATGCGAATCAGAAATATCTATTTAAGTTAGTTTCAGTTTATTCATTAAGTAATTAAAAAGGAGTACCTTATTTAATATGTGCTAAAATTATTGTTTTTCAAAGACAAATTTCTTGGAAAAATATATTTTTAATTTTTATAACATAAGTATTTGTGCATTTATTTAAAGTAATATGTTTAGCGAACGAAATATAATTTAAAATAAATGAAATAATTAAAAAAATAATGAAAGGAAAAATGTCGACGGCTCGACTATTCTCTGGGGAAAATCGCATGATGGCTGCAAAAGAACATTAATTCGTACAAATCAACAAATTGTCAGAGAGGTAAAAACACCTATTTAGGAGTTCAACGGAATTGGGAATTGGGAGGGTTATAGTTGGATATAACCTCAAAGAACAGAGCGTGGACGAGCTATTATTTCTGAAAAAATCGGAAAGCCAGATTGGCTTTCGCAATCTGGCTTATATTAATTGGAATCCGACTCAGTGGAGAAATGTTATGCTCACGGATGAAGTAAAATTACTTATTTACTTAGCTGGCTTGATACAGAACGGTTGTTCCATAGGCCGAGCTTAAAAAATTTGGAAGACCACGCTCCAAGATGTTGTTTTCTACTTGGTCTGTCCATCTATTTCGTGGCCTTCCCCTTCTACGGGAACCATCAGTAGGCACATTTTTATATGCCTTTTGAGCTGGGGCATTTTCATTCATCCGCACAACATGACCTAGCCACCGTAGTCGCTGCAGCTCAATACGACTGACTATGTCGATGTCCCGTTATAAATTGTGGAGCTCGTGGTTCGTCGTCGACGCAGATCAGCCCGTAGATCTTTCGGAGAATTTTTCTCTCAAACACCCCAAAAGTTGCCTCCAACATAGCGAAAATTGAACTGGACGTTTATCACTAGGAATCGGAGTTGCCTCATCTGCTTGCGCAAGTACCCCTGCTTCTGATCCATATAATAATACGGGTAGTATCAGCGTCTTGTAAAGTGTGAGTTTGGTCTGGCGGGAGGTGGCCTTGTTTCTAAACTGCTTACTTAGACCATAACAGCATCTGATGGCCATCACAATCCTTCTCCGAATTTCAAAACTGATATCATGGCGGTACCAAGGTATATAAAGTCTTTTACTACCTCGAAGCTGTAGTTCTCAAGTTCCACAGTTGGTCCGAGTCTACTGGACGTCTTGCGCGTTGCTACCATCAGCTTGGTCTTCTCGCCGTTTACTGCCAGACCCACTTTGGAAGACTCCCTTTCAATTTGTTCAAAGGTGGCTGTTACCGCTCGCAATGTTCGACCCATTATATCAATGTCATCGGCGTACTCGAGTAGCATGTGTTGTTTGGTGTACAGAGTGCCATTTCTGCTCACCTTTGCGTCTCGTATGACCTTTTCCAGCAGGATGTTAAAAAGATCACACGACAAACTGTCACCTTGTCTGAATCCTCGTTCAGTATTGAAGGGTGGTATGTGTCGAAGTGTTTTTTCGTGGGTCTTTTCCAGGATTTGGCGCAGAGTGAAAATTTGGTCAATGGTGGATTTGCCAGGTCTGAAGCCGCATTGTTATGGTCCGATGATGTCATTGACCATTGGCTTCACTCGTTCACACAGCACACTGGATAGCATTTTATATGCGATGGGAAGGAGACTAATTCCTCTATAGTTGGCACATATCGTCTTGTCTCCTTTATTGTGCACGGGACACAGGATGCTGAGGTTCCAATCATTGGGCATGCATTCATCTAGCCAAATTGTGCTAATTAGCTGGTGCATGCTCCTGACCAGCATCTGGCCACCAGTCTTGAATAGTTATTAAAAAATAACAATTCGACAGTGCACTAGAGCCCAGACTTGCGTCGTTAATGGGGACCGGATAATCGTGACGCAACTCAAAACGACGCAAATCGAATCACCTTTTTCTACACATATACAAAATGCACTGAAATTTAATTTAACAAAACAAAGCAAATTTTGAAATTTTGTTAACGTTCAGGTGACGACCAGTGTTGCCGGAAGTTGTAAACATACTAAATGACAGAAAAGATGCTAAATCCGACAATGTAAATGCAAAACCAGTGAGCGGAGCAGTTTTTTGGGGCACGGGACACACAACTACCACGAACTCTATCTTTCTGAGGATGTTTATTCCGAGTCAGTAGTATGGCATGCATTCCGATTAGAGGTTAACAAAACCTCTTCCTTACTTTTTTCGAATATTCAGCACAGTCCTTCTAATTACTTGTCCAGATTACCTTCACGGTGGGTTGTGTTGTGATTTTCTGGTAACCCATCGGCACACAAAAAATTATGTTTTCGGTTTTTAAAATTTTAATCTGATCATCAATTGCTTTTATGACCATAACTGGAACTTGGAAAAATTTCAAAGCCATCAGCGCGATATTTCTCCCTTTAATGTGGTAATGGATTACTAAATAATGTCTGAATACGTAAGCACCTGTAAATATTTGACTGTAACTCCTACATCTGAGTAGATACATCACTATATTTGGTATCAATTTAAAGGCCAACCACTCCTCTTGGATATGCTATCAACTCCTGGGGTCTGCATCCTCCAGGAGTAAATATATATGCCATAGCAAATTTTGTAATTTTTCACACAAAAGTCAGGGTTTTGACCCAAGTTGACATATTTATCAAAACATGCAATTCTGAAATTTATATTAACCTCTGGAGGAAAAAAACCGAAAAAATTTAGTATTTGATTTCATCCCCTAAATTTCTTTTACAATAGGGGTCTTCACGACCCATGTTGCAAAATTTCGTGAAGATTGGACCATAACTGTGGCCTGTATCGTGTTTACAAATTATGCTAAATCAGACACTGTACACATGCAAAAAAGCTAGTCGAGATATGACGATCGGTATACTTAAAGGTGGGTCAACCAATATTTCTTGCGTTACAAACATTTGGGGCTGCACAAAGCTATAATACCCTGACAACATAGTTGTGTAGGGTATAAAAAGCAACTTGAAATTGCAACGACGCAACTCGAATTTTCTTGTTTTTAAAAAGCGACGCAACTCGAAACGACGCAAATCGGGACTCTAGTGTAATTTAGTATTCCTGATTTCTTGGAGGTTTATGTTTTATTATAGAACTCCAAAAAAAGATCCTGCACTATTTTCAGCATTTTGAAGATTTTTTTTCGCATTTCCAACATAGCGAAAATTGAACTGGACGTTTATCACTAGGAATCGGATATGACCAATTATAGCCGGTTAACAAATTGTTAATACGAAAATGCGTTTAAGCCTTAAAAATACCGAATATGCGTTGGTCCCATAATAGGTTGTGCAATGTTTGGATCAAATCGAACATTCCATTCTCCTGATAATTGATTTATAAATATAGATCTAGACTGGGTATATATATTATGTTGTACAAAGTTTGGTTGAAATCGGATAGTCGGTTCGTATAATATTCTAAAATTAATTTTTTGAACAATATTGACCATTTTGTGGGGGAATTACCAAAAGAAGTTGACCGATATTCCCCATCTTCGTGCTTGAACTAAGTTTGGAAGAAATATTACGATGTGTAAAGCTTGAAAAAAGTCGGTTACTACCTTCGAGAGTTATCACGCGCACCAGCCCGGCCAGACAAACTGTCAGACGGACATGGATAAATCGACTCTAAATAGTGTGAAACGTATTTGTTCCAAAGAAACATGGGGTCTTAAACCAATATTTCGATGAGGCACATTTTTGTCGCATCAAATAGTATATAACCTCATAAGCCATAAGGCTGAGGGTATGAATATATAAATCAATAAGGCTCGTTACAAAGCCAAATATAAGAGAGATAACTTCCTCGATAATGAAGTGACTACCTTCCACAAATTTGTTTAATCGCCAAAATTTATGAATTTTTACTAGAAAGACTGGAATTTTGTATATACCTATATTGCCTAAAATCGGTCAAAATGACCTCATACTGAAAGTATTTTTATTGTGTAAAGAAATTTTTACACCCTACACAACATTGTTGTTAGGGTATTATAGCTTTGTGCAGCCCCAAGAGTTTGTAACGCCGCGAAATATTGGTCCTAGACCTACCTCTAAGTATACCGATCGTCAAATCTCGACTAGTTGAGTCGATCTAGACATGTGTGTCCGTCCGTCTGTCCATTATAATTTGTAAATACGATACAGGCCACAGTTATGAACCAAACTTCACGAAATTTTGCATGTACAATGGGTTCTGGCCAATGAAGACCCCAATTGTTTTTGGCAAAGATCGGTTAATATTTAGGGGATGAAATGGACCAAACACTTTTGTCTGATTTTCTGGTCGCTCTGGGGTCGTATTCATGGCCCAAACATCGCATGGAGAAGGGGATCGGGCCAAAGAATAAGCATGTCTGTATTGATAAAGATCGGTCAATATATAGCGGGTCAAATGGACCCTGACTTTCGAGTGTATAATGACAAAATTTGTATTCTATAGCGTATATATTTACTCCTGAAGAATATATATCCGAGAAGTTGATTGTATATCCAAAAGG